TATATATATATATATATATATATATATATATATATATATATATATATATATATATATATCAGTATCAATGTAAAAATGTTCACGGAGTGACATAGTAAAAGTATTCTAACATTACTCGACCCAAACTTATTTTCTGGGGCCCCCATTCATCCCCCAAAAAGGTTGTTTGATGGTAATTTCCGCTCCTTTCCCCGGTTGTGAAGGTCGCTTGGGCGGTTGTTAAGCCACCGTTTAAGAAATCGACTCCAAATAAAATTTGTCACAAATGTCCAATATTGGCTAAATATTGGACTAGTTGGTGTTTTGGTCTTAATGTTTGTCAAATTTTTTTATTTTGAGAACGATTCATCAATATCAATGTACACTTAATCAAGGAATCAATTACAAATCGAAACTTTCTGATGATTCATTCTCAGAGACACTTATCTGACAAAATATCGTCACAACCACCCACCCCTATTTTATATAAAGGATATGGTATTTTGGTCTTAAATCTTTGCAAATGAAGGCTGTCAACTGTCACCACTGTTTAAGAAATCGACTCCAAATAAAATGTGTCACAAATGTCCAATATTGGCCAAATATTGGACTAGTTGGTGTTTTGGTCTTAATGTTTGTCAAATTTTTTTTATTTTGAGAACGATTCATCAATATCAATGTACACTTAATCAAGGAATCAATTACAAATCGAAACTTTCTGACGATTCATTCTCAGAGACACTTATCTGACAAAATATCGTCACAACCACCCACCCCTATTTTATATAAAGGATATGGTATTTTGGTCTTAAATCTTTGCAAATGAAGGCTGTCAACTGTCACCGAACGTCAATTCCGACATCAAAGGTATCAATAAATCGATTTCAAATGATTTGTTTTTATAGGATGCAGTCGAAATGGACAATATGAACAAAATATCGTCACATTCACACCTTTAAGGAGTATGGTTGCTATTTTTATGCCAATATTTGTCAAAGTCTGAGAAGTCTTGTACAACGAGATATCAATATCGATGTAAAATTGACCAGGGAATTTATTGCAACCAGAATATTTGAGATGGTGTGGTGTGAATATTATCTTGCAATAAAATAAAATAAAATATCCTGACTGGAAAGAAAATCACAGCAATCCCTCACACCAAAATATTAAAAAGTTTGTACCTTAAAGCAGTTAGATTTGCTATGTGTACGTTAGTTATATTGTACGAGATTGTCATATAAACGTTGTAACAACGGTGTGTGAGTGTGTTTGTGTGTGTGTGTGTGTGTGTGTGTGTGTGTGTGTGTGTGTGTGTGTGTGTGTGTGATTTGGATTTTTGACGTAGCTTTTACAATTTTTCAGTCATATCGCTACGATGTCTATATTGTACGAGGTATCGTATAAACGTTGTAACAACAGTGTGTATGTGTGTGTGTTTGTGTGTGTATGTGTGTGTGATTTGGATTTTTGACGTAGCTTTGGATTTTTGACGTAGCTTTTACAATTTTTCAGTCATATCGCTACGATGTCTATATTGTACGAGGTGTCATATAAACGTTGTAACAACAGTGTGTGTGTTTGTGTGTGTGTGATCTGAATTTCTGACGTAGCTTTTGCAATTTTTCAGTCAAATTGCTACGATGTCTGCAGTGTGGCAGTTTATAGTGATGTCTAGAAAATGGGGCATCATGCTACAGACACGTAGCATCGTGTCCCACCTAGTCATATTATCTTGACACCATGGAAAGCTTGGCGCCCCCTGTGCTGCTGAAGTGTCTGCACGTGTGTCTCTTTGAATAAAAGCTGTATACAGCCTCGATTTATAATTTTCTGACTCGAGATTTAATGACTGGCACTGCTATTTTATTGTTGCAATGCAAATGGATGCATCCAAGATTTAAATTCACACCGTATGATGTAAAATATAACCGATTAAATGGTCGCGGGCCGAAGGTTGCGCATGCCTGGCTTAGTGCGAGACAAAATTCCAGAAATGCTTTTTCAAACCACGTTAATCACATAAATGTAATATCAAAAAGACACGAGTACAAATCCCCTCTGCACACGACATTTCACAAACTAGTATGATTTGTACCACTGATGAATTTTAAAAAAGATTTTAGATACATATTTCTAACATAGATAATTACAAGGCAAATATATACATATATAATGATTTTTAGGTCAACAGTGGCATTCAAGTACAGACGAGTTTATGTCAATAGCGATAGGGGAGGCAGTGTCGTGATGCGAACATCTAATGGGTCATTTGTTTATAACATTCAAGTTATCTGCACGCCACATAATTAATATACTTTTTACAAAATTTTATTTTACCAAAATTTTATTTTACTGTACAGCAATTAAATAGCTGTTATCCAGTGACGTCACTAGGGTTGGTGTCGTCCAGTGCCGTAACTCATGGTGTCACCCCCATGGACCTCCTTCACGCACAAAAATTCAAAAATTTAAGAACATTCACTCCGACTGACATCCTTAACGCACAAAAAATTAATAAAATTATAGAATCATTTTGATGTCACCCCCTCTGATGTTCTCACCCGGAGCGATCTGCATCCCCCTCCGCACTCCCTAGTGACGCCATTTATTACCAGTGCGCATTAAGACGACCATGATCTTGAGTATCAAAGGCTTGATTCGAATTCGAGTTCTCGAATGTGCTAGCACTGCTCTGCTCGATACATAAAGTCACGTTTATCTTCGTTGCAGAAAACTGTGTTCATCATTGCGTATTTCCTTTTATAAAACAATAACATAATTATTTACTCATCAAAAGCAATCATTAAGCCAAGAGCCAACTAACGTGCTACAAAGCCTCTCCTAATTAGATATATTTGCCTAAAACGTTTAATCATACAGTACAGTGTCAATAAAACATCTTTAAACATTTTTGTTTACAATCTTTCACAGCTGTGGCATCATCTGCGAAAACTGTATAAACAATATCAGCAAAATTTCATTATATCATCAGTAACTATTGCGTGACATTTTACGCTTTATTCTATCGCAGATCAGTATTACAGTGTCAGTTATAATTAAATTATCAGAATGCATCATTCATATAACACGTCATTATCGGGAAAGACAATGAACTGTCGCGTACTGTTTTTTTTTTTTTTAAACCTACATAAACATGTCAATATGGATTTATATGAACATAAATCCATACTATTAGTAGAACGCCATATATTGGATTAAATAGTTCAGTGTGACAGTTGGATAAATGTCAGATGTTCGGAATATGCGTTTGGCCAAATTTGTTAGGGGGCTGGTGCACGAGAGCTGCGCAATCGATGCCGTTACTCGCGGCACGAGTTCGAGACCTGCTTAGTAAGAATTACAACTTTTTAGCCTGTTTGATTATTCTATCATTCTATATAACTTTCTTTCACATAACCATGTATCCAAAGAAATAACTTCTGATATAGGGATATAATCATATATCCAAAAAATATAACGTCTGATATGGGAATATATTCAAGTATCCTAAGATATTACTTCTGACATAGATATATAATCATGTATCCAAACACATAACGTCTGATAAAGGGATACAATCATGTTATCCAATGGTATAACATCTGATATAGGGACATAATCGTGTATCCAAACATATAACGTCCGATATAGAGATATGATCATGTATCCAATGATATAACATCTGATATAGGGATATAATCACGTATCCAAACATATAACGTCTGATATAGGGATACAATCATGTTATCCAATGGTATAACATCTGATATAGGGACATAATCGTGTATCCAAACATATAACGTCCGATATAGAGATATGATCATGTATCCAATGGTATAACATCTGATATAGGGACATAATCATGTATCCAATCATATAACGTCAGATATAGAGATATAAATATTCATCTAAACATATAATGTGTGGTATTCGAATATAATGATGTACCAAAACTACTATGTTTGATATACAGCCTGCGTAAATCTTCACTTCTTAAGTTTGTTGTCATTCACTAGTACGCTCATAAATTGTTCTTATTTCGAAATTGGCAGAGACCCTTTCATAGATTTATCTCACATTAACAGACCGTAATAAATATTACACGCAGTCATCAAGAGAGAAACGCAAAGGTCTGGTTTCTTTCATGTTTCAGGCATTCATAATTTTTGCATTCATAATTTTTGTCTGGGTTTTAAACAAGAAATTCGCACGTTCTAAGATTCAGGTTATGTACACATTTAACTACATTCAAAGTAATAACCAAGACAAAAAGGTGGATAAGGTTTCTCTAGGTATATGGGATGAACACACTAATGGCTGGTCATTTGGGTTAAAACTCTTGTAATATAAACAACCATTTTCAACAGAGATATCTACATCATTCTTGGATATATTTTTTAATAAATACATCTTTAATTTTTAATACACATATTTATTTGCATGAAAATAAGATAGGTTTATTAACTTAATATGAAATAAAATATCTCTATTTCAAGTGAAAGAAGAAAAGTCATCGCTCCCTCCCTCCAGCAGTTCACATGCTATGGAGCATAACTTTGTCATTTTCTTCAACGGATTTTTATTGTCCGAGGTTGTTTTTTTTCTATGACCAACAGGCTGTCTCGTGCGGCCCAGCTGACAGTCTGAAGGTATCAAATGATCTCAGTAATTCAGATGTTTGTGTGTGTGTGTTTTGCGTACGTGCGTGCGTTTGCATTTTTAACGTAGCTTTAACAAATTTAGCCTTATCACTACGATGTCTGCATTGTGGCAGTTTATAGTGATGTTTAGGTTTAGCACTGGCAGTCTGTCTGTGTGTGTGTGTGTGTGTGTGTGTGATTTGGATTTTTAAGGCAGTTTTAAAGAATTTCAGTGATATCGCTAAGATGTCTGCAGTGTCTTAGTTTATTGTAATGTCTAGCGCTGGGGCATTGTGCCGCAGACATGTATCATCATACCCCCACCAGTCATTGATCGCCAAGCGAGGCAGCGACTAACACCATTTTTAGAAGTCTTTGATCTGACTCGGCCAGAGCTCAAACCCGCGATCTCCAGCATCAGAGGCGGACGCTCTAACCACTAGGCCACCGGACTGTCTAGCACTTGCACTTGTCTAAACTTGCAAACATGCAGCATTATATCTCAACCAGTCACATTATCCTGACACCAGGCCAACCAGTCCTTACAGTAACATATTAATGCTTATCGCCAGGCGAGGCAGCCACTGGTATCATTTTTATAGGTCTCTGGTATGACTCGGCTGGGGTTTCAACCGGAGGCCTCCGACATCGGAGGCGGACGCTGTTTCCATTTAGGCTCGGAACGGTCAGACGCTTGAAGCAAATAAGAGTCAAATTGGTCGGGAGAAACTAAACTACAATGGGGCCAGCCTTGCCACCATCAAAACCTGAACTATTCGACTATTTAAATCTCTCTCTCTCTCTCTCTCTCTCTCTCTCTCTCTCTCTCTCTCTCTCTCTCTCTCTCTCTCTCTCTCTCTCTCTCTCTCTCTCTCTCTCTCAGAGATATATGTACTGATAAAATAAATTTTCAATAGAGCGAACTTTACTACAGGTATTATCTTTATTTTATGAGATATCTCTATATCTAGTGCGATGGGTGTCATATTGTAAATGCTAATTATCTTTGATGTGTGTTGCTATAGTTTTCATGAAAGTCGAGGTGTTTTGAATTAACACAATATTTTACTGGTCAGGTTAGCGACACTAATTAATGTTGCCAGGGTGTGGTTGAGATTAGTTTTGTCCGCGCTGGATGTTAAATCTGTTGTACGTTAAATAAATGCCTATAATACCGCAGCACACGCAAGCAGACATTTTGCTGGATGAAGAAGAAATAACTAAAAAAAAACGTAATAATGATCACATGGATTCTGCGGAGCTTAATGCATCACCACCGACTTAAATAATCGCGTATTCCTTCTTTTTGCATGTGTCTGACTAGATAAAACTGTAACACAATTTAGCAATTTCTTACCGTTGATATCGCCACCGCCACAACTACTGTCGCTGCTGGCAAAGCGACACATTTCTTGTACTGCTGTAGCAGTAACATTAATAATAACAAGCATAATAATAATAATAATAATAATAATAATAATAATAATAATAATAATAATAATAATAATAATAATATTATTCGTTATCGACATCATCATTAGTCACATCGGAAGTAAAATACGAATCCTTGTAGTTGACCTTAGTACTGAAACGATCATTCGAATAAGAATACTTTTTAAACTATTCAAATCGGAAATTGGTTTTTGAATATTCCATGTATTACTCCAGGTACTAAAACTATGATTAACATGTCTGGTTGTTACCATACTGTGAAAATATACATAAACTGTAGTCTCCATAAACTGAAGACCCGACAGACAGAATCACGACTATGCAGAGCTAAATGGGAATACTTTGAATTATCTTCCCATATTAGAAAATGCACAATGCAAATTCCAATGTCTTACAGTGTGGCAATTTATAGTGATGTCAAGCATTGGGAAACCATGATGCAGACATGTAGCATCTTGTTCCACGCAGACACATTATCCTGACACCAGGCAGACCAGTCCTAACACTAACCTCTTAATGCTGATCGCCAAGAGATGCTGGTGTTAGTATTATTTATATAAGTATTTGGTATTACTCTGCTGGGGTTCAAACTCGCGACCTCCCTCATTCGAGGCAGACGCTCTTACCAGTAGGCCGCCAGAACGATCCAGTTCACAAAGAATTTGCTATAAATTTTATTATCTTCTATATATTTCTTTAACGATCATATGAATATAAGTGGAATTTTTAAATTTTTCAACTTGGGTTTGATAAACCAATGCTGCACCACCTGAATGAATATTCTTCAAGCTTCATTATTTATTTATTTATTCAAACATTACTATATACGTTGCCACAACAATAACATCAATTCTTTTTATTGGCTTTGAGGGATATAACAGAAATTTTCAGCACATAATGGGCTGTATATGGCGACCGGTATATATTGCGGAGAAAGATCCCTGCCAAGAACCACCAATCCACAGGAAGCTAGTAGCAAACTTTCTCACATGTCAACGTTGGCGAGCCAAGACTGGAATCCATGGATATATGAATTATCTGTGACTTAGATAATTTCTTTCATTTAACCAAGAGGTGTTGAATCAATCGCTGACATATTTCAGTAATGACGAAATTTTAAAATTAGCAGCTGTGGTGGACATGCTGACAGCTTGGCATCATCTTTTTTTTAGGACAAATTATACACCATCAGAAGTGTTGGTGTGAAACCCAATTTTATAATATCTTCCACTCAGGGGAAGTAATGAAAATAATATTTTATTTTTATTAAAGATCATCGCTTTGGCGGTCATATTGGATATACGACTGGTCCTAGAAAGTATCACACGAAGTTTATAGGTGAAAACCCGTTAATATAGTCATTCATTTGGGAGGAGTGGAGATAACAATATTTTCAAGATGTGATTTCATTTCAATTGGCACCTTTAAGATCAAAAGGACATCATAAGCCTTAGTGAAAATCTTGTCTTGATACAGTCATTCATTCAGAGCATTAGCGATAACAAGGTTTTTAAAATAGTCTTTGTGTTTGGGCCATACTGAATATCAGACAGGTACCAGATTCAATTCAGTACAACCTGACGTCGTAATACGTGTTTTGGTGAAAACCCCATATCAATACGTCTTTATGCTCAGGGATAGTGTGGCAATAACGATGGCTGCCATTTTGGATATCAAATCGGCTCCATTTCTATTTAGAACCAACTAAACATCATAAAGAAGTAGTTTAGTGAGCATCGCCTGTTGATATGATAATCCTCTTTGAAGTATGAGCAATAATATGATTTATAAAAAGATATTAAGGGTCAATTAAACATCATAAAAATTGTATCCCCCCAAAAACAACATTGTTATGACCATTCAAGAGGATTACCGAGAAAAAGATTTTAAAATACCTGCAATGTCGACCATATTAAATGTATGACAGACTATTTTCATTCACTGTCAACTAGACGAAAGGAGGAATTCACGTGCGAACATTCAAGACAATCATTCAGGTAGTTTAGAACGAATAGCTATAATAAACTATTTCTAAGTGGTCGGACGGACGGACGACAGGTATAAGCTCTTCTGGTCTGTGACCACCCTAGCGTAAAATCAAGCTTATAATTGTTAAAATACTCGTTCTAAATTACGTGTCAAATCAACTTTCGAACAACTTGCCCAGTTAGACTCAAGTTTCCCGTAACTTAATCAATTCTGCATTTGATCAGTTGTCATTTAGAAGTTACAAAAAAGATACTGCATAAAGCCGTGTTTCAAAACAATTGTCCATGAAATTTATCAATTTAGTGGTCATAGGATTTTTTGGTGATGGACAGATCCCAGCCCACCAGACGGGCACATCTTGAAAATAAGGATGATCTGCTAAAGCGGCACCAGAACTGAACAGGTTATTTTAAGTTTCATCCTTGTACGAAAGTACTGTTTTGAGAATACCCCTCAAAAGGCTCTCCCGTGCATTATCCGATTTCATAAGTCATTAATTATATATCCAGATACGGCAGGCCGGTACTTTAGTATAATAACCATCTTTTACGTGTGTTGCGAAATGTCATGACCTATTTTTGATCGTAGAAGGGTTATGTAGCTTAGAAATTCAGCAAGAAACTCCATACAAATATCCGATAAGAAGCAATTTACTGAATTTGACTTCCTGTCATCCGAATCAATCCAAGACTGCCGTGACGATATCACATATTTCATGATATCACAATGAATAATCGAATGCGAATCGAGTATAGGAATAGCAAAATCGGATAATCCCTTCCAAATAATCAGAATTGATCGGATATTCGATTTAGGACAATCACAACGGATCGGATATTTGCTCTAGGACAATCAGAATTGATCTGATATTCGCTTTAGGACAATCACAAGGGATCGGATATTTGCTTTAGGACAATCTGAACTGACCCCCCACTACGAAGTTAGCGTAAGTTGCTTATGGGTAAATGGTGTTAGGTAAGTGCATTGGTCGTTTAATACCTATAAAGTATGTACATGGGTATGGAGCATAGATCAACCGTTACGAAGTTACGGCACAGAAGTTTAGTCCTTTTTGGGAGAAAGGTTGAATCCCATGATCAATGTAAGTTGCGTATATAATTCTTTCTCACCCACGCGACAGAGAAATATAGCTGTTTTGCTAGCCGTACTTTTCTTGTCTCATTCTAGTCATCTCAGAACAGGCGTCTCATTCAAGGTGTCCATGCGCTCAGAACTGCTTTTTAAAAAAAAGGTAACCTTTTTGTCATCTGCTGTGTCTGACGTAGATGTTCTAATATTAAACAACAACAACAATAAGAAATATATAACAAAACATAGTAACTTAAGGTAAATCCATCTTTGAAAACACACCATACAAAACCATTTTGAGAGAGACAAAGATTTACACGCACACAATGTCGAGTTTTTTGGTATTTTGTTAGTTCATTCCACACACAATTTTATCCTATATGCAGTCCTAGCTCAGTACATTTTCAGGTCAGCGTCATTAAATGTAGCTAAAGCTACCCAACTAGTTTTAAATACTTCGTGTGAAACAAATTTTTTACTGTTAGGTACTTTAAATAAACGATGACCTGAAAACTGACTGTGCAAGAGATAGGATAAAATTCTCAAAGCTGTGTGAAATGAACTATGACAGAAAACAGTGATCTATCCACATAGACTATAGACCTAAACCCTTCAAAGCCTCCCCAAATATCTTAACAACTGTACAAAACTTAGTAGCAGCCAGAAATTTTAAATATGCTTTATTTTAATTGTGTTAAGCAGCTCAATCAAAAATATACCTACAACACTGATGACAAATAGTGCACGTACCAGCCAGAAGGAATCATTTATCCGTCAACACATCAATCCATAAGTAAATTTCACACTAGCAATTGCCATATTTCCAAGACAGAAAAATAAATTTCAAAGAAACTGTGAACTTTAAAGTTTAGCACATGGTTATCTTCTAGGGTTCGTATTTGGAGGGTCTTTTCAAGCAGAGGGGGTAATTTTACAATCAGTATTAAAGAAAATACAAGCATGTCACAAGTATATCATACACAGTTTCACCTTCTCTAAAGAAAAGGAGAGTTATATACTATAGTGACAGATCTCCAATTACCAATGAACAATCTATTGCAACATGTTACTCTTTGTTACAGCTTGTACTAAAATTAACTACAGTAGAGCTGAGTACCCAGCATAAATTCATTATTTACAATGTAACTTTTCAAAATTGGAACTGATAAAAATGAAACAGTTTCTTGTAATAAATATACATTATTTATCGTTAATTTCATACAACATCCATATATTAAATGTGATAATACCTGTAAATTATGCACCGTTTTATATTAATATTTGTTATTTTGTCTCACTCATAAAAACTATATACTTCGAAAGACACGTCACGCAACAGTCTTTTTTTTATATTAATGCACTGCATGTAAACATTTGTGCGTGAACTATTCTGCCAAGTAATGGCATTTTTTCTTACTTTAAATGATAATATTGGGTGAGAAAAAGAATCTACGTTGGGATTTGGACCGAGGCAAGGAAATCCCAGTCGCGGAGTTAGATAATATGTCTCCCCACTAATCCCGGAGTCAGTTTAAGATCCATTGTCTTTTATTGTCTAGGAAAGTGTACATACGATTACAAGGCGAGGATATCAATAGTTTCTATGTAGGGAGGAAACCTCTGGGAGATCTCAAATGCATGTTTAGATTCGTCATTGTTGCTTTTCAAATGTACATATGTTCTAGCGTTTAACAGCTCCTCGTCACAGTAATCACTATTTGGTGCCACTCTGCATACTAACAACTATATGGCACCACTCAAATGGGAACTGTATCAATGATAAATTGCACAAAACATCATCAAGATAGAGCCTTTCGAAATATCAACGTAAATTAGTACATAATAAACGATAAAAGATGCTAATCTCTTGTAGAATACATACATACATACATACATACATACATACATACATACATACATACATACATACATACAGACAGACAGACAGACAGACAGACAGACAGACAGACCGACCGACCGACCGACCGACCGACCGACCGACCGACCGACCGACCGACCGACCGACCGACCGACCGACCGACCGACCTACCTACCTACCTACATACATACATACATACATACATACATACATACATACATACATACATACATACATACATACATACATACATACATACATACATACATACATACATACATACATAAACAACATCAACAGCATTCCTCAAATGTCTAAGACTTTTTTGGCGGCATATGGTTATAAATAAAGTAAATTTGTATTAAAGAAAAACAAAACACGTCTGTTCCACTTGGCACCGCTCTCAACATGGTGACCTAAGTGATTAGAGCATCCGTCTTCGATGCGGGAGGTCACAGGTTCGAAAAAGATCGAAATTTGGTTGTTTGAGAGGTTTAGAGTTAGTCCTAAGATTTGAGTATGGCTTTAATTTATGCATTTCAGTGGAGACATTACGCCGTAAATGGCTTGATATAGTTTCACAATGTTGGTGTGTGGCAAAGGCAGCTCCAGCCATTTCTAGTCGCCCCGTGGTCTAAAGCGCTCATTGTTACGGATCGCTGCTATCTCACCGCTGTTGTCGTCGTGTGTTAGAGTCTCTGCTCCGGCCAATGTAGAATGATTATGATTTTTAACATAGCTTTAACAATTTTTCAGTCATATGACTACGATGTCTGCAGTGTGGCAGTTTACAGTGATGTATAGCACTGTGACATCATGCCGCAACCATGTAGCATGATGTCCCACCAAGTCACATTATCTTGACACCAGGCTGACCAGTCCTAACACTAACCTCAATGCTGAGCGTCAAGCGAGGCCGCTGTTAATACCATTTTTGTAAGTCTTTGGTATGACTCGACCAGGGATCGAACCAAATACCTCCCGCATCCGAGGCGGACGTTCTAACCCGGCCAATGTAGGTACAAGAGAAAGCTTGCCAGTAGCTTCTCGTGGGTTGGTGGTTCTTTCTGGGGTTTTTCCGGCTTCTTCCTCCACCTTTTTTTACCGGCCGCCACGTATAGCCTATCTTGTGCTGAAATTGTTTTGAAATCTTTTAACAAAAATAACAATCAGCCATTTCTCCATCTTTTAAATCAACTGAACACACAGACGTGTACCCGAGATAAGAGGATCTGGTTTCAATGAATTTACTTTAAAAAAAATTGAGAGGATTTGTTGAGATCTTTGTGATTAGACAGAAAAGGGTTGTGAAAATGGAATATAGAATTGTACAAGATTGCCAACAATGTTATCTTAATCGGACCCGAGGCTTCCACAAATGTTCTTGCGCCCTTCTCAAGTGGTGCCTTGGATCTAGTCTCAAATCTCCACTTGGTACCATCTCTTGTGTACAAGAAATCTTCTTTTCGACAATTCACACAAAATACTCTCTATGTGCGGGGCGACCCATCGTGAACTGTCAAATCAAGAACAGATCGGTTTCTTCTTACTGCTATCTTTGCAGTGGCAATATTTTTGACAGTTAATACACCGCAAAGGAATATGGATAAAACAGATATTAAAAGTTTCAGTTCTGATACGTGTATGCCATGTGGTGAAATCCAACGTCAGAAAGTACGTGTGCCCAACAATTGACCTGCCGATGTTGATTCGTTTCACTTATGAGACATTCTGCAATCTGACATTTTGCACTTTATTTTTAGTACCAACGCAGCCATCCAGATCTTAGATCGCAGATCACCTCTCGAACAAAGGCAGAGTACGGACTATAATGTGTAGTTAACAAATCTCTCTCTCTCTCTCTCTCTCTCTCTCTCTCTCTCTCTCTCTCTCTCTCTCTCTCTCTCTCTCTCTCTCTCTCTCTCTCTCTCTCTATATATATATATATATATATATATATATATATATACACACACACATACAAGCAACCAACATTAAATAGCTGTTTTCATTTTTGGGGGTGGGGGTAGTTGCAGTCTCTTCGGTTCCAAAGGCAAACCCTTGAGTGCTTTAGATATCACACAAATGTGATAGCTTGGTTAATTTTTAATTTTCGTCATTGGATTATATGTTGGTCAATCTTGGCCAATACCGCTAATTCGGACGAGTTTCATTTTCCGAGAGGCACGTTGAACTATTATTCCATGTCCTTTTGAGACCACTTCTCTAGTTACTCGGTGTTTTTTTTTTGTTTTTTTTGTGCTTGTTTTAAGATGAAAAATTATTTCACCATCTTTGTTCTCCACCCGCAGCGAAGCCGCATTAGGCTACACAGATTTACCTTCATTTACTGTGTTACCACTCTATATGAACGTTCGAATCTGTATGGTGTTCTCAACTTTCCAGAAGTTGCAATTCCGTATTAATTACTATGTAGTGTCTCTCTTATTCTGAAGCTGTTAAGTTCGAACAAATTTTCATCTAGTTCTCTGCCACAGCTTAAAATAGAGGTCGGCAACCTAAGAAACGCGTGCCACAAAGTGGCACTGGAATGGCAGTCAATAATCTCGATTTTTACAGTGTTAATGTGGCACGCGCTCGTTCATGTTAATGTGGCACGCGTTCGTTCCTGTCGCAATTAATCCGGTAAAAATCAGGCTAAGTCAGAGTGCCGACCCCTGTCTTAAAACTTGTATTATTCTCCCTCCCTAGGAAATAAACCTAACTCTATGGAATTAAAAATAGAAACCAGGGCAAAGACATTGGATTCGTATTTTGAATATTTATTCGATTACCGCTGCGTAAGTTGCTGCCTGCGTTTTATTTTATCTTTTTACGTTTATCTCTGCATGTATATATATATATATATATATATATATATATATATATATATATATATATATATATATATATATATATATATATATTATATTAGCATAAGTAATCTCGTACTGATTAGATAAACCTTGCAAAGGACAAAAACTACATGTTACTTTACTGTATCAAATATTGTTTTCCACTCTTCAGAATGTTCGTTCTGCATAAACACTTGCTAATAAATAACTGGAATTTGTACAGATCAGTTATTATCAAACTTTCCATAGGGCAAATGATTACAAATTTTTTCATAAAATCTTCTTGGTAATTTAATTTAAATAAAATATAATTAGTTCCTTTTCTTGGCGAAGTGCATGGCTTTGTATGCTATTCTTAAGTGGGTCTTAATTCACGGTAATTGTGGGTGTATATACGCGGAACAGGAAATATGACCTCATGAAATTTCCTTATGTTTGCATTATAAAAGAAAAGAACACCTAGTCTTTATGCAACATTGAATTCCTATGTGGTTCACTGACCCATGACTGGATCATATACCGCCATCTAAACATCAACAAAAAAAAAAAAATAGTAACATTCCGAAATTCAACATTTAAACCTTATTCAAAATTAGAATACGTCAGAACGATCACTCTCATAACTTTTGAGACCGCTCCTGTTGCCTAGTGGTTAGAGCGTCCGCCTCGGATGCGGGAGGAAGGGTTCGAACCCCGGACAAGTCATTTTGATAAATGCTCGTTAAAGATCACAGTTGTAAACGGCAAAGTTCATTAATGTTCGCTCAAACTTTGTTACAGAGAACAGTATTATGTCAGTTTCCAACTTAATCAACCGCTAAGTAGGTGTTTTGTGAAGAATTGTTTAGGTTAAGCTATGGTGAAGCGAAACACTAAAAAATGAACCTCCAAACAGCGCGCGCGCGCGCTCGCGCGCACACACACACACACACACACACACACACACACACCGTCTGGCCCCTAGAGGCAATTCAACCCCACCCCTTTACATTCGCTGTACGAAAGTCTACATCAGACAGGTGTAAGTTATCGTTGGATGATCCCCATGTTCAGTATCAATCCTTAACGTTGCTCTTCTTCTTTTATCATTTTTGTACTCCTAATTAAAATCAACCTTGTACCGCCTACATGTTAAACAAAGGTGAAGACCGGTCACGTGATCATGTAAATTGTATATCACTGCTATTATTACGAGAGCTGTTGCACAAATTGCTGCAAAATTTCCTTTCAACAGAATTGAATTTCCGTTAAAAAATATAATAAAAGACTGAAAAATCAATGTAGAAGGGTTCGTAATGGACTATGTCCGGTTTTAATTTAATTTATGATATAACCATTTGAACAGTTTTCGAATATGCTTAAAATGCCGACAGTACAAGTCGATCGTTAAGAGTGCTATTTCAGATTGTGATTAACTGCTTTCAAAGAACAAATAACGCTTAAGTTGACCAACGATAATTTATATTCAAGGGGAATTGACATTTACTTCATTCAATCGGATAGAAAGTATACTAGAAAATAGTTACTTTGGACAGTTCATACTTTTAACAAGGGCGTCGGCAGAAGAATATATATATATATATATATATATATATATATATATATATATATATATATATATATATATATATATATATATATATATAATAATAATAATAATAATAATAATAATAATAATAATACATCGATGATATTGTACCAGGTCTAATATCTAGTCTTTATTTCGTCAGCTACACACAAGACTTTGATTTTTCAAATGTTATTTCCTCCCTTTGTTTTACACCACGAAAATTGAATTGTTTATCCTCTTGCTAAGTTTTCTAGTGAATGTTTTCTGTCACGTAACAAGAGATTATTCTAACATTACTGGTGCATCAGTCATGTCTGCTATTTTTTTTCTTCATTTCTAGTTAAGACATTTTAGTCTCAGAGGTCTCTTCTTTTCTTTTACAAATCTTGCAGTTATGACAAACCTTTATTAATTCTAGAGTCTAACATCTCCGTACGTTTTGGTCCTCATAGTCGACAATTTTGCCATTAAAGCAAATGTATATCTTGGTTTGGAACTCCTGGTCGTCATCTAGAACTTTAATCATTTTTTCTTTTTGATTTTATTTTCATTTTGTCCCATTTGCAATAGCATTGAGTATTTTGTCATTTGGCATACGTTAACTTTTTTACCCCATCCCTTCATCCCCTACCATCACTGACGTCTGGTCTCAAATCAGCCTTATCATTCACCCACATGGTAACGTACCTCGTAATTTGGATCTCAACCCGGTTGACAAAATTTTTCTATTCTAGAATGGACCGAAATATTTTAAGACATTCTTTTTGGGCAGCATGATAAATATATGTATAGATTAGCTCATTTCCAACAACTGATTGAACTTAATTCATCACTGCTCTTCAAAGTTCCCTCATTTTTTTTGCCATCCAATCAGGTAAGGATGTGACGTCATCGATGACAATCCTGAAAGCTCTATATCTATCACGAGTCAGACTAAGGTTGACATTTCTACATTAGCGACTGACAGGTGACCGCAAGGCTACAGAGGTCTCCACAAGCGAGAACAAGTTTGAAACGCTGTGATCTTTGTGACATTTTGACATAAACAATTGTTGACCAAATGACCGCTAGGCCCCTTCAGTGCATACATGAACGGGTCGGAACTAACGGCTTGTACAGTCATTTGTTTTTGTCTTGTTTTTTCGCCTATGATTTACGGAGATGCTACTTCGGTATGTGTGGAAATGGAAGCTTCTTTGCAGTGGAGCAGCTAAAACATTTTCGTTCACTTGAAATGAAGTTAAATAAAGAACGAATTGCAAAGAAACATGTATGCAACAGAACGGAAAATGAAATCGAAGGATATTACAAAAACAATATTAGTGAAAAAAGAGAATTTGAGTGGAACCTAATAGTACTTAGATATCAAGAGCAACCTAACAATACGCAGCTATTTACCGTAACCTAAGAGAAATTAGCTATTTAGTGTGACATAACGGCACTTGGATACTTAGTATAACCTTACACTTAGTAGTACCTAGCTATCTAGTGTAACATAACAGTACATAATAGTATATAGCTATCTAGTGTAACATAACAGTACATAATAGTATATAGCTATCTAGTGTAACATAACAGTACTTGGCTATCTTGTGTAACATAACAGTACATGGCTATCTTGTGTAACATAACAGTATATAGCTAATTAGTGTAACATAACATGTCAGAGATTTAGTGTAACATGGCAGTACACACACACACACACACACACACACACACATATATATATATATATATATATATATATATATATATATATATATATATATATATATATATATATATATATATATATATATACTGCAACATGACCGTACATATATATTTAGTGTAACATGACAGTACATATATATTTAAACCGACATAACAGTATATAGCTAATTAGTGTAACATAACATATCAGATTTAGTGTAACGTGACAGTACACACACACACACAAACACAAACACATATCAATATTTAGAGTATCATATAACTATTTTGCTATTTATTACTATATGAATCTGAGGTATTGGGCAATATCAAAATTGAGTGAAATATTGAGATAATGTAGAAATATGTATTCTAGAGGAGCGTTCATTTTTTTATTAGGATAGTGTTGGCGGAGAAATTCCAAACAATTATTTTTTATACAAATGAATTTTTCCATACGTCTATAATTAACTACGGTTGTTTGTCCCTATACGCCTAACAAAACAATGTCCAAATACGTGCACATGTTTTCGGGGACAATTTTATTATTTGAATTCTTTTTTTTAAAAAAAACTTTTTAGTGTCAGTGATTTTGTTTCAGACGATGACCGCCATCTATAAAGAACGGAAAGTTATGTCGCTAACCAGTAAAATAAAACTTTCTGCACAATTGTTTTCGCAGAAGTAAGGATGTCAATAAACCACGCCCAAAACCTACCATTACTAATTAATAAATAATTTACATACGATTGCTCAAAAGCACTAGGCGAGGCGGGATAATAAACAGTAAAGGCAATTAATACATTTTCGGCTCGTAATCGATACAAAGCCCCCCGTCTGTCTGTCTGTCTGTCTGTCTGTCTGTCTGTCCCCCCACTTATAAACAAACTTCACGAAAGAAACGAAAAAGCCTATTCAAAATGTTCATTTACACAAAAGTATCTCCGGAAATTTACTTTCAGTTAAATAGTTTAAAAAACCTTGGTAGGCAATATCTGCTTTATGAATCATTCGCCCATTTTGCATGTCATCGTCACCTTCTAACAACTATACACTGTCAGGGAACAAGATAAATATACACACACACCTCACAATGACATTAACATTGTAAGATAAAAAGCAGTTATGACAATGTTTTAAAACTAGACTGGAGTGATTTAGCTATATAAATTATGGCTACCAGGCGGTCCCAGTTCCGGTTTGCAGACGTTGTCCTAACTTTTTCCTCGTTCAATTTATATACATTACCTATGTTACCAGATAGGAATTGTAAGTTTGTCTTTTTCCTATGTAGCTGTCATCTTAATCATACAAATGCTTGCTGAGTATATTTGAGTACATTGGAACCCAAGCAGGTTATTACTTCCGGTACAACGAATGTAGTCCCTTTCTACTTGAGAGAGCATTTTTAGTGAGGTTGTCTGTGTGTATTTTAGTGACAGTGCACCGTAAGTAATGAGGCACTGATGGTGATCCGAAGTGAAAAATGTGACCCAGTGGACAGTGTTTTGTTTACAGTCCATCCTCTCAAAATAATGCCCAATGACTTATTACAAGCACTTCACCGTGAGTTTATCTTTGAATGTATTTTACATTAGTATATGATTTATTCGGATTTTGACATAGTGGAAAGTTTAGTACTAGCAGCTGAATGTAGAGACTAATTAGAAAGACTAATTGTAAGGCGTCCTGTGCGTGCCATATCCATTAAAGTATAAAATAGTATCCCAAGTTATATTATTAAAGTCAGGCACACGAAGTTTGATCTCTTCTGTATATTGACTTTAAAAATAGAACTATGTTATTAAAACTTTCCAAAATTTAACTGAGAATTATTTTAATAAATTCTTTCAAGTTAAAATTTTCAAATTTATGTAAAATAAATGCACATGTCGCGCTGTTGTTAATTATTATTATTATTATCAGCATGTAAGCATCCCCATACCTTATGCAAGTGACAAGATACTTGTGAAATGCTGCCGTAGAAAATGTCTTTCAAAGTCAGAATGAGACGTTTATTCATAACACACGAAAACATCTCCCAGCTGATATTGAGGTCATTTATATTATTTATTATAAGTGTAAGCTTTTTATTTATGTGTTTATGATGTGATAACTATACGAGTAAAATCACAAATGCTTGTAGATCTCTTGGTAATTGTTTGTAAATATAATTATATGTCACTTCGCAAGAATGGAGATAAAAATTCTATAGCAAAGTCTACTCAGGTTGTCTATTAAGCTATTTCAAACCGTTAGAGAATGAAAAATGTCAAAATAAATATAGGTCAAATGGATAAAATATAATTTCCCCAACTCAATTGATATTCCTGGATGTAAGTAAACAACAAAATATAATAAGTCTAACACAAAACGCATTCCTTTTCATTGTTCAGTTTGACATTGATGAAGTGTGGCATTTTAGCATAAGGTCATATCACAT